TAGGAAACATTCCAAACAGATTAAATGATGATCAAAGGATAGAAAAAGGTAAGAAAGATATCTATTATATACAACTAATCTTGCCACCTGGAATTATGAACTGAACCCATTTGTATAACATTAACCATGCAGCTTTTAACTACTGTATTATTTTGTATATACAGTAAAAATGCATTAAATATAATATACTCAATTCAGAAATGATAAACTTCACTTTTAGAACTGAGGGTCGGTGATTTAAGAGATGTGATGCAAAAGTTACGAGATGCAGAGTTTAAAAAAGGAGATTGGGAGGATTTAGGAAGAGAACTTGGGCTGCATCAAAACACGCTGGATAATATTAAAGAAGATCAAGGAAGTGTTGACAAGTGTTACATCAAATGCCTCACAAAATGGCTGGAGAGAGCTGATAAAGTTGATAAATTTCATGGAAAACCAACTTTTAATTCATTATGTGCTGCACTTGAAGCAATTGAAAAGGGTGCAATAGCTGAACGTATAAGTGAGTGTATATCTCAATACTTTAATTATGCATCATTATCCTCACCATGACAACAATGAGAATAATGAACATGAATGATATGAACTTATGATAGCCTTGCACTATTGTAATTTAAAAATAAATGAATGAATGAAAATTCTTGACTAGCAGCAATTTTATTTACCATTTACTCAGCAATTTTATTTACCATTTACTCAGCAATTTTATTTACCATTTACTGGATTATTGGCAATACTCAATAGTAAAGCAGTATAGTCACAAAGTAGATATTGATAGTTATACATGTACATGTCTATTTTAGGTGCTATGTTTGGAGGAAATTCATCAGAAGGAAAGAAACCAGCTAAAAGTACGAGTAAGTAAAAGCTAACCAGTAAAGTTAACTGTACTTTAATCTAGAGCCAAAAACTGACTCTCCTACTACAAAAACTGGTGCTGGAAACAAAGGTAACGTTACAAAATCTGACAACCAATATAACCTCATAAATGTAATTTTTAATGGGTTGGTTATCTGAGCTAAGGCTCTTACTTTGCTTAGGCTGATAATAGTAAAAAATTGAATATGGAACCACTGACATGTAGTGGTTGAGTGAACGTCAGTGGTTGAGTGAAAACTTATTTCTGTCCCTCCAAACAAGCACAGCTGCTACTCATAATGCCCACATATTAACAGACAACATAATCTATTAATGTGATCCTTTTATGTTATCTTCTTTAGATGAAGGAGCTCAAGCAAGTGCTAATGTTGAGGAAACTGATGGACCTACCCCACCACAACAAGGTAACCAATTACTAACACAATAGAGTAGTTTAATACATACTTGCAAACTTGTACTCATATAATAGTTCAAATCATGCATGCTATGTAGCTTGTAAGCTGGTTTGGTATGTAACTGGTTGCAAACAAGTACTATTATACTCAGCTTCTAATTCAAGCAAATCACACACACTAATACTTGCATCATGTCTTGCATCTGAAAAGGACAAAAGTTAAGTGGTTTTCTTTCAGGCCCACCAGTCTGGCCAAATGATGATGAAACTGTAAAATGTGTCATTGAATCTCGAGAGTTTAATGAAGATCTTGTTCAAGATATCAGAATCCTACTTATGCCAGCCACTACAAGTGAAGAAGAACCGGTCGTGCATTATCTGAAGAAATCATCTAAAAAGGTCATTGAAACATACATTGATGGTTTGAGGATATACATAGGGAATTATGGAGAAAGCAAAGTCATTGTTGTGATGACTGCACCAGATAAGAGCAGGCAGGGTCCCATTCATGCTGCTGCTATCACATCAAAAATG